TTCCAACCTTTCAACCTCACACAATCTTCCGCCGGTATCCACCACCCATCTTTCACCCTTCTCAAACCATGCCTTCTAGCCTCCTTCTTTCGGGCTCGTCTCTTCCTTGTACAAGGCTTACACCAACAACTTGATTCCTTAGCCTTTGCCTTGCGTTCCTTCGGGCTTGCTTGGCCTTGCGTTTCCTAGACTTCACCTTTAACTTCGGACCACATCCTTTTGGCTAATCTCGTGCACATGATTGTCAGTATATCGGACTTGTAGTTTCCTCCAGCATGTTCTCCAGCCATATGTTGAGATCGTCGCCAACCTCATCCTCCGACTCGCCTGGGTTGATGACCACTTCCGTATCACAGCGCCCGCGCGCGTCCCAACAGCGCCCAACCACACACGACCGTGCCAGCGAGCAGCTCGGGGCCCGACCCCAGCTTTCTAATTATTTTTCCCGAACCCTTGTGTGTGCCTTTGACCTGTTTGACTTTGTTTTGCGTGCTAAGTATATGTGTGATATTTATATGCATTTTGGTCAAGTCTATGTGTAGGATCCAAGTGTTCCAATGTCCACGGAACTTCACGAACTACTTGGTTGAATCAAGTTCGACCAATGTAAGCTTGTGATTGTTCTCTAAGGTCAAGTAGGTGTTGATCTTAGTATATAATTGTTGTAGGTGTTTGACGAGCCGTGCTCGCTGCCTACTCCCGTTTGTGTGCCATTTTCCGTTGCTATACCAGGTGGGTTTACTTATAAAACTGTCTATGCCATACGTGTTGTTTATTGTTTAGTTGGTATGACCAATGTATGAATGTGAACCATGTAGCCTACCGATATCAGCTGTTACGGCCGTCGGTACGGTTGTCCCCGTCGAGTTACGGTACGGTTGCCCTTGCGAGGCAAGTCTCTTTAAGACCTAATGAAAGGCCGTGTCCGTTACAGTGGCACGCACTCCCGTCGTTAGGGTTTATGCATCCCCTTTCCGCGGCTAATGATAGATGTGCACATGAGTGAGTTATTGTTGTGATTATTAGGAGATGAGACATGATGATGATTGATTTATATTCATACTGCGACCATACAATCTTTACATGTTATTATGTGCATAGTGGTGAGCACGCTTTTCATCTTGTGCTCATCCCCACCTGCTCTTCACCGATGCAGGTTAAGCAGAAGCTGGGTGACGAGAAGAGGCGAGTGGGTCGGTCATTTTATTTTGCATTTATTGCTTCCGTTTGAATAAATAAGGCTTTATGGACCTTTATGTTGAGACTTGTTTAGATCATTTTCCAAAACTTATGACTTGCTTGTTTTTGGAAAAACTTGTGAAACCCCGATGTTGGGTATTATTGTTTGGTTACCTACTCATGTTGAGAATTATGTCTCGTGATGTGTTTTGGTTAATGAAAACCATTTGTGAAAACCGGGTAATGAATCCCCGTGGGCCATATAAGACTTGGGTTATGAAAATGTTGTTTAACACCCATTGAATTTTCGAAAATGATTTTGAAAATCTTATACTGATTCTAGGAAAGTCTGGAATTTATGTAAAATCAAAGTGGGGTGTTTCACGATAGTAACAGGCACTCCGTGAAGTCAAATGATTCCACGGGTATAAATCTCGGCTAACTTGTCCAAAGACATATTCATTGTTACAGGTAAGAAATGAGCAACCTTAGTCAATCTATCCACCACGACCCAAATAGCATCGTGATGTTCAGACGAACTTGGTAACCCTGTGACAAAATCCATCGTGACTTCTTCCACTTCCATTTCGGAATCTCGAGTGGTTGCAGAAGGCCCAAGGGACTCTTGTGTTCTGCTTTGACTTGCTGACATGTTAAACATTTCCTCACAAAGTCGGCTACGTCCTTATTCATTCCTCGCCACCAGAACGACTTTTTCAAGTCGTGATACATCTTTGTGCTCCCTGGATGGGCTAAATAGGGTGCGGTATGAGCTTCGGTCAGTATCTCCTTCCGCAAAGCCTCAACGTTTGGTACAATAATTCTGCCTCGAAATTCCAAGGCTCCATCAGTGCCTCGGTGAAAACCCTGAACGCCTCCAGCGCGAACTTTGACATCAATAGCACGAACAAATTCATCAGAAGCCTGCTCCCGCCGGATCCTTTCCCTCAACGTAGGCTGAACCTGTATAGAACTGACACTCCCCGTGATCGCTGTAGGAAGTGCATCAACATCCTGAATTTGCATCCGGGCGAACTCCTGGATAAAATTATTTTACTGAGTAACAACATAAGTCAAATCACCCTTCACCTTACGGCTTAGGGCATCAACAACGACATTTTCTTTCCCCGGATGGTATTGGATAGTACAATCACAGTCTTTGACAAGCTCTAACCAGCGTCGCTGTCGCATGTTGAGCTCTTTTTGAGTGAAAATATACTGTAGGCTCTTGTGATCAGTGAAAATCTCGCATAGACCGTCGTATAAATAATGTCGCCAAATCTTGAGGGCATAAACAACTGCGGCTTTAACTGGCGTGAAGTATAAGCAACAACCTGGCCATCCTGCATAAGAACACATCCCAAACCCTATATTGAAGCATCACTAAAGATAGTGAAACTTCGAGAAGGATCTGGAATAATTAACACCGGTGTTGTGTTCAACCTCTTTTTGAGCTCCTAAAAGCTGGATTCACATCGATCTGTCCACTCGAATGCAACAGACTTCCTCGTCAATTGAGACAATGGAAGGGCAATCTTGGAGAACCCCTCGGTAAACCTGTGATAATAACCCGCCAAACCGAGGAAGCTACGAACCTCGGATGGATTCTTTGTCCTGGACCAGTTTTAAACAGGAGATACCTTGGATGGATCAACTTCAATACCTGTCTGCGTGATAACATGACCAAGGAAAGCAACTCGCTGGAGCCAGAATTCGCATTTAGAGAATTTAGCATATAACTTTTCACGTCTAAGGGTTTCAAGAACAACCCTCAGATGCTCTTCGTGCTCCTTCTGGCTCTTGGAGTAGATTAGAATATCGTCAAGAAAAACAATAACAAACTGATCGAGGTAAAGATGGAATATACGGTTCATCAAGTCCATAAACACCGTTGGAGCATTGCTGAGGCCAAACGGCATAACTACAAACTCGTAATGACCGTACCAGGTACAAAAAGCGGTCTTTGCAATATCTGACTCCTTGATCTTCAGATGGTGGTAACCTGATCATAAATCAATCTTGAAAAACACACAGGCTCCCCTCAGCTGGTCGAACAAGTCGTCGATTCTGGGCAGCGAATATTTGTTCTTGATACTTAACCGGTTGAGTTCTCGGTAATCAATACACATTCGCATAGAACTGTCCTTCTTCTTCACAAAAAGAACGGGTGCACCCCACGGTGAGACACTCGGTCGGATGAAATCGAGTTTCAATAACTCTTGGATTTGAGTATTAAGCTCTTGCAATTCTTTCGGCGCCATTCGATATGGTGCTTTGGATACGGGGCCGACTCCTGGAATAAGGTCAATAGAGAACTCTACCTGCCAGTTAGGCGTTCCTCCTGGAAGTTGGTCCAGAAACACATCCACAAACTCACGAACAATAGAAACATCGTGAGGTGTCCGTGCTTTCGGTTCATCGCTGACAAGGCTCACAAGATTACCCTGGAAATCATCTTGTCGTAACATCTTTTTGGCTTTAACCATGAAAATAACATGAGGTAAAGAACGAGTCTTGGTGCCAAAGAAAGTAATATGATCGTCTCCCCGAAAATAAAGAGTAATCTCCCGGTCACAGCATCGAATATCTGCATGGAAATAAGTTAGCCAATCCATACCGAGAATGAGGTCAAAGTCCCTCATCTCTAGAACATTAGTGTCAGTAGACAAGATACAACCACCGATAGAAAGGCTGAGATCAGTAGCTTTGGCATCAGTCACTATCTTTCGTCCCGAGGCTAAACTCACCTCGAGAGGATCGACAGCGGTAATAGAATGTACTCCAATGGAATCAAGTCATCGTCGTGATATAAAAGAGTGAGTTGCTCCAGTATCAAATAAGGGGAAAACAGGAACATCGTTTAGCATAATCATCCCAGACATAGTACCTAGGTGTTGTTCCACCTCGGCCTGGTCTACAGCATAAACACGAGCCTGCTGTCTGCCTCGTTGCTGCTGCTGAGGTGGCCTCAGGGCCTGTTGTTTAGGCTGCTGCTGCTGTGGCTGCTGTGGTGGTTGCTGTCATGGCTGCGGTCGCTCTGGGCAGTTGCTGACAAAATGTTCGGGCTGATGGCAGTAATAGCAGATATCCTGGCCAAAATGACATTCTCCAGGATGGGGTCGTCCACAAGTAGTGAATGGTGGAATTTGCTGCGGTTTGGCTGCACCTGGTTGTCTCGGACGGATCCTCCTGTCAGTCTGGAAGCCTTTCCCCTTTCTCTTTTTGTCCTTCGGTTGTTGGGCAGCAGCTGGTTGAACTGATGGGGCTGAGGATGAATGGCAGAGGCAAATGGCTGAAGACGATCGTGGTTGGCCTCCCTCTGAATACTTGCGTTAACCTCCTGGGCTATGTTGACAGTATGGGCATAGGTCTGGAAGCTGTGACCTACAATGTTATGATGGACTGCTGGTAAAAGCCCGCCAGTGAAACATCTCGATCTCTTTGCCTTTATGCTCACCAGATTGGGAACAAAGGCTCCAAGTCGAGTGAATTCTCGCTCGTACTCTTCTACTGAACGAGTACCCTGTTTGAGCGCCAGAAATTGACGCTCCAGTTCTGCTCGATAGTACGCGGGATAATATTTCTCGCGAATCAACTCCTTGAACTTGTCCCACGTACAACCTTCCTTTTCGCCGGGACGCATTCCCCTGTAGGCATTCCACCAGAGACGTGCGTCGCCCGTTAATTGAATCTGTGCAGATAGAATGCGATAACGGTCGGGACAGTCCATGACCTCGAAAATCGTTTCAAGGCCCTGGACCCATTCGTTCACAATTCGGGGATCTCCCTGGCCGGAAAATTTCTCTGGATGGTAGTCGCGAAACTGAGCGACTACGGTGGCCTAGGGACCTCCTGATGATCTGGATCCCTACGTGGCGGCATCTGAATATTGGAAGCGTTCAACATGATTAAACATAGAAATATGACATAACATGTTACATTAACTATGTGATCAGACACACAAATCTCTTGACGAGTTGTTAACTGAGCCGGGAAATATTTACATTGAATCATGGACACACTGGACTATAAATCCTGAACATAACTCGAGCATCTAACTAATTCATAACTGTGGATTCTACTGAGCATAGACATAGTCATTTGTTTATAATTTAAAACATGAATCAGCACTTACCTGTAGTCGGCGGGGCGTGAGCGTGACGTGGTCGGGTTTTATAAAAATTTCTGACTCATAAAGTATTCAGACATGCAGAAACGTGCTCTGATACCAACTGCAACACCCCGCTATGTCGTAAATATTAGAGTTAAATTTTCGTAAAATCTTTGATTAAAATACGTGTTAGTTTGCGAAATCTTGACTCGGAGTGCTACCATAACTCATTACTTTGCTTTGAAATCCGTTATCTTTATTTTAGCTTTGAAGAAAAGTGGATTATCATAATAACAATCAGACTTGTACATCGGATCAAAATAGAAAAGTTTAAAAGACAGTAGCTTCAGCGGAAATCATAGCGTGGCAAAACATATATACAAAACTGTAGAAACATGATCCTGAACCGCTCATCAGCTCACACCTCCGGTCCGACTCTATGACCTGAAAAACATAAATAAACATGGGGCGTGAACACTAAAATCCACTGTGCTCCATAGGAACTCATATTAAAGTAAACAGTGAATATAATTGCAATATCATGATCAACAGCATGTAGAAACGTGGTACCGGTACAATATAAAAACATGGCATGGCATGGCATAGCATAGTTGTAGCATAGCTACAATATCTGCCAACACAAACGTGTTGGACACCATGTGCACACTCTAGTGGGCAGATAAGGCCACTAGAACCTAGAATAGGTTTACGCACCTGGACCAGCTACCATTCCAAGTGGATACATAGCATGATACATACCTCAAACATGCTAGAGTAATTATAATCAATGTAATACCCAGTCTGAGTCCCCACCTGAACTGTCGATATAAACAGGGAAGTGCTGATGACTGTAGACTGCTCAAACTGTAACATGATATAAACAAATACTAAATACTATGCTCAGACTGATTAAAATAACTGGTTAATATGTTAAGATGCTCGACTTGAACTTGTCATGACACTTAGACTTAGCCGGTATAACCAAAACCAGTTTAAAATGGAACTGGACTGACATGAAAATATTGAAGCTGACCGGACTCGGAATTTAGCTGAAATCTTAACATAAACATAGACCGGATCAGTAAATATTAAAACATGAGCTAAACTGGTCTGAACCGGCCGGTTCATTGGCTGGCCGGACT